CCACCATGTCTCAAAAAACCCTTAAGAGCAATAAAAATATTTTATTGTGAAACATGTTTTCACTTTTTAATATTATATATGATTGTAAAGAAACAGATTTAATTTTCAGTATGAAGAAAACTGTTCTATACTGTGAAATCATAGGACCTATGTGATTTAAAATACAAAAATTGCATATGAATTTTTAGAAAATGGTCTCCCACAAAATAGTTTTGTTTAAATACTATTTCTGTATATAGCCATGAAATCCATTCACATTATGGTGGTTCTTTTTAATTCTGCCTTCCAGCTTTAGAYAACTCAGTCAATTGACAAAGCTCGGATGACTTGTTACCTATTGGAATGAAAACATAAGGGAAAAGTCCTGTGTCTCTCCCGATAGGGAACTGTCTTTAAAATGATGAAATTAACATTTACCATTAGTTTGACTAYAAGGATAGGGTTCTGTTTTTAAAACTTGGACTTAAGTAAATGTAGAGAATCGCTAAGCTATAGTAAAGTCTAATTTTGTTAATTAGTAAATAATTCTTTCATTTTTAAAAAAATGCATAGTGATCTATAACTGATTACCTGAGTCAAAGGGAAGAGAAAAAAGAGACTTATTGGAATTGTTTAGTGGAGTTGTTATATGTATTTTATTGTACTTGGCATATTTCTTCCCACCAAAATGGAATGGTGGTTCACAGTGGGGGTTTTTATTTGTTTGTTTCCTTTTTTGTGGTTGTTGACAGAAAATAGTACTTAGGTTTGGAATTGTGAAAGAAGTGCCCTTGAGGAAAGAAATTTTTCTTGGACGAATAGAATAAAGTGATATGTAAAATATATATGCCTTTGAAGCTATACTAAGTATTTTGACTGTCCAAAGTAATATATTCTTATTTCTAAATATGTGTCCTTTTGGTTGAATTTGTGAAGACAAGAGAAGTATAGGCATTAGCACTTCAGTCAATCTGCCTTGTCCATCCAAATCTGTAGAGGCTGGAAGTGCCTGAACCTGTGTTTTCCTCCTCCTCCTTTTTTTTTTTTTTAAATAACTTTATTTATTTATTTGTTTTTATGTGGTGCTGAGGATCGAATCCTGGGCCTTGCGCAAGGTGAGCGCTCTACCACTGAGCCACAACCCCATCCCCTCCTCCTCTTGAACACAGACATGCTCAGGCAAGGGCAGTAGCAGACACAGCCATTCTTAAATTCAGGCCTGTGTTAGGGAAGCACATGTGGGTTAATACCACTTCCTATTTTCTGTATTCTCAGATGAAAACAGCAGAATTTAGGGATCAGAGAAACTTGGTAATTACCKACTGGACAGGGAAAAAAATCCTTGAGTAAATTTTTAAAATACTTTTGAAAACTTTTTAGGAAGCTTGTCAGTTTTTTAGTACTGCTTTTCAAATAGGAGGGTAATGAACTGGTGCTGTCTTTTTGTAATGGACTCTTTAACACAGAGTCGTTGGGGCAGTAGAGAGTTATGACAGGAGCAGACAAAGATGATGCTTTATTCTGTGTCTGTGTCAGCCGTTTGGTAACAAAGCATACACGAATTGTATTTTTCTTGTGGTATAGATCTTGTTTATAAAAGAACCTTTGAGAGGAAAAGGGACATTTTAGATATATTTCAAAATCGAGTTGCTGGCAAGGCCATGGATAGTTTTTAAAGGTTCTGGAGAAATCAGGCAGTGTCTCATCTGTTGTTAATTAATGGAATGAAACTGGAGTCACTAGAGTACAACAGTGAATGAAAGGTCAGTGAATGGAAAAAACTGTCAATGAAGGAGGATGTCAGCAGAGTGGAATATTGTCATAGATAAAGATCAGGGGAAATGTACTCTTTGGCTGAGGTAGTGTTTTCTGGAAGTGACTGAGAGCCCCAGTTTGGTACATTTCAAGCCAGACTGGGCACTAAATGAATGATTTGATTTCATTGAAATCTATTAAATATTTAAAAAATTATTTGGTTATTTGTGTTTGTGCTAGATATTAGTTGAAAAATATTTGTAAACAAGAGGTTTCTTTTTGTTTTATGATGCATTTTACAATGTAGTGTTGGTTGGCTTTTTGTTTTGAGGCCAAACAATTGTTTCTTTTATTAATTTTTATTCTCTGCATGGAATTTTTTAGCATCAACAATGGCTTTTGAG